TATATATATGCATAATATATACAATGTGTGTTAGAATGCCATCTTTCCTCTCCAACCCCCTCAGCCCCTACACCCAGCTCAAGTGGAAACCTTGTACTGTTCAGTACTTTGTGACATCCCACCAATGTGAAATGGGCAGTATAAATGTAAATTTGCATGTTATTACATTGTTGTATTGTGTATAGTGTTTGTGTATAATACATGTACACACTATTCACAATAATAATAATACTCCTTGCATTTGATATAGCACTTTTCACGTCGGGAGGACGTCCCAAAGTGCTTCACAGAACACACTGTAAAGTGAATTGACTGTATTTTTGTGGGCGAACGCGGCAGCCAATTGCGCACAGCAATGTCCCACAAACAGTCGTAGATTGAAAATGACCAATTTATTATTGTTTTTGGTTTTGGAGGGATTATTATTAGGCGTGTGGAGTAAGGAAACTTGCCCAAGGTTTCGCCCTGCCTGGAATTGAACTCAGGTCTCTCACTTGCAATGCAAGTGCTCTAACCACTGAGCTACAGGACTCCACTAAATAATAAAGCTATATGTGCATTTTATTATATGATGCTCCCTCCTGTAGATTGTTTGCAATGGATTGCCAACGAATAATACTGTTCAAAATGTTGCTGAATAACAGTAAATGCACAATGCAGCCATTTATTGAAAGAAGCAAACTGAGAACCGTCTTACTGAGGTACCGCAGCTGCTGAAACTTCTGAATGTTTAACTCTTTAACTGTATAAAGCTCCTGGTTGATGTTGCAAATCTTGTACTGTTAAGACAAAATCAGAATTTGAACTACTGGCACTGCAGCATCAATAATATGTGGATATTGACAATCTCCTAATGGGCATCAAACACAAACTTAAAGCGCTAACATAAAAGTTCTGAAATATTAATTCAGTTTCCTCTCTCCATAGATGCTGCCTGACCTGCTGAGTGTTCCCAGCGACTTCTGTTTTTATTTCAGATTTCCAGCATCCGCACTATTTTGCCTTTTGCTTATTAGCACTAACATAATGCATCTTATACCGTTGTTGTTTTAAAAAATATGTGTTTATTATACTTTTCGGAGTGATTTGCAGTTGAACATTCTCGGATGCTTGTGATGCTATGATGAGCTATTTTAGCATCTTGTGTATAAATAGGGTGAAAGGAGTGCCAGTGTTACTTAAAACACACCAAAGGAGTTTGTATATCGTGCTGTTAAAGTTATTCAATCCATCAAAAAGAATCAGTGACCACTCAAATGCTGATGTAAGCTTAAGGAGTCTTTCTTTATAGTTGAACAGCATTTAAAAAGGCCATCTCTGTCAATTTTGTCTTAACTGCTTCTGCCTGATTAAATCCACAAATCAATTGCTCCAGACAAATTGTATTGGTTTCTTTACTGCATTTGATCTCTCTGTTTCCAGTTTAAAAGACCTAAGGATTTTTGCAGGGGAGGGTTAGCAGTTTGCAGCAGTAAATTGCACAGAATTTTGTTTGTACACTACCCCAGAATCCTTTATCTAACATCAAATCTGAAGATTGAGGAAGTATCATTTGCATCAACCATTAATTTCATTTCTGAAACTATTGCTGCTTTGGGTGGTATAGTGGAGGTGAGTGTTACAGATCAAATCTCACTGCAGTGGAATGAGCCTTGGTTTTATTTTCCCCCATGTGGCCCAGGCCCAAACAGATCTTAGCTAAGTGGGGTCTTTGGAGGCTGTTTGGAGTGCCTCTTGGTCAGCCCCTGCTGTTCAAAGATGTTGGTGGCCCACTGGCAATGGGCCGCTTGTGCTGCCATCTTGTCAGTAGGGATATCAATGCCAAAAACCCCAAAGATGTGACATAAGTTACGAGAAAAAGATATATGTATATATTGAAAGTTCTTTGATTCTTTTGTAATAGCATTACGATTGTTTGGGCCATAGTTTTAATTTTGTCAATGTAAAGTTATGGAAAATGCTAGCGCTGTGAAGTGCAAAGGAAATTCATTTCTCTGTGGATTACTCATAAGTGCTGACACCTGCAACCGTTCTTTCAAAATAAGACCTATGTTAGTGATCCTAAACTATTCCATTAAGTGTTAGGGAAATACTGCCAGTACTAATGTTTGGGTTGTGAACTTTGAAATGTAACACTTGGATTCTTCAAATTCTGTAGTGTTTCAGGCAAGTTTTATGCAGGGTTGCGTAATATAATTTCCTGAAATAATATTAGCAAAAAAGTGTATTACTGGGCAGAACCTCACACTGGGATAAAACCTCATTTAGTTGTTTGTGTATTATGTAGGATTGAAGGACCTGAATGGGTGCCTTATTACATACAGTATCAGGGATATAATATTAATAATTATTTGGTAATTCTCACTTATTTTTGCTAAGTCACCAAATAGATTGAGTCATTTTACCAAATTCTGTTAATTGCATACCTAAATGATTAAATCTGTGATTGTCTCTGTTGTTTCACTTTTGTTTAATGTTATACCCTTGTAGTCTGCTTTTTTTTAAATAAGAAGGTTCTACTAATGCAAGTCGGATGCAGTGCTGAAAGAGAAAAAAGTGTATGCTTGCATTGTATGATGTCTAGTGTTTCAGTGAGGATAGAAAATAGCTAATTATCCACAGCGCGATGCATTGTTAGGGGTTCATGCTATCACTTTGACATTTAGAGCAGGACTTGGTGTCTTCGCAAATTCCTCTTCGTGTTACCAATGGCTGTTGATCTGCCAGTCTCTAGGCACAGGCCGTTTCACAAACCATAACATTTTTGTGAGTGATTGATTTGTATTATGTGTCTCAGCCATCAGAAGAATCTTGGGATGCAGCTTGTATGAACTGTAATACAATCCTTTGCTGGGAGTTTGGTTACAGGTCTTCATAGACCTGTTGGCGATACTCAATCCGCTTGGATTTGGGAATGGGGCTTATCTGATACTTTCCAAAAAAAAACTCATTTTCTCTATTCCCATGTTAAATAACACAACACATCTGGTAACACTGTAGGAGCATTGTCCTTGGGTTACTGCAGCAGCTCATATTGCTACAATATTTCCTCAAGGATCCAGTTACTCAAAGGGCAACATGACTGATTAAGAACCATGTTTACACTGGACTCCAAACTTAAACCTTCTGGATTCAAGAGTAAAAAAGACTTTTTATACCTAATAGCACAGAATTGTCAAGAATGCTATTGGTTGACACTGATTTTCTTTTGCATAATTAATGTTCCTGCTTGTAATTATAACATTTTGTAATTTCCACCGCACTGGAAAGAATGGATCAAGTAGAACGGGTTTATGGTAAATGTGGTTGTAGCTTTATAATTAGAAATACAGTAGAATACTTTTTATATGCAATAGAACTGGGGAAATGGTTTGGTTAGTAACATTATTGTGCCATGAATGAGAATAACAGCATCGACCAAATCAGTAACAAATTGGGACTTGGTAAAGATTACTTTTGCAATAAAAACTTGATACAAGAACCTCATTGAGACATGATGGAATTGTGTTTAAAAGCAATATTTGCATGACCTTTGAGTCCCATTGCATCAAAGTGGGTGGAAGTAAAATTAAACTTAATATCAATTTGTGGTATTGACCAATATTGTCAAATCTAATTTTTGATAGTGCTGTGTAACGTATACTACAGTAAAACTTGCATAGGTCTTTATAAATCATATGATCGCCTAAGTCATAAATTCACGCAAGTCCCAGTTTCTTATCAAAACCACTTAATTTATTTGAACTAGTATTAAACACCTCCCAATTTGTAATGCCACTCCCCTATCCTCCTTTGCTCCTGCACTTACCAGCTGCATTGAATCACGGGAAATGACATCTTGACCAGTCGACGCATGCCATTTACTGGCCAGCTGCATTGAATCATCCGTCAACGCGTGCGCAGAAGAACTTAATGTCCCGTGATTCAACTTGATTCCAATGCTTGCCAATAATTGTACATGCGACAATGGGTCAAGACACATTGAATCACGGGAAGCGTAGTCTTGACCCGTCACCGCATGTGAACTTACCAGCCGCAGTGCTGAAGTACTGGATGCACACTTATCGGCTGCATTGAATTACACATGCGCAGTGTAGGTTATTGATTAAATCATATTTTATACGACTGAAATAGTTTGCCTGCAACTCGCACTTCACATGAGTCATATTGAATGTCATAGTCCCGACTGATGCGACTTATGTGAGTTTTTAAGGAGGGTCTCCGTGGACCTGAACTGACTCCAAGGTGACATGTCTGGCAACGGTATGTCGGGATCAAGCCAGCTCTCTGTGGTGGTCTCAGTAGTCCGGTTTCTGAGCCAGGAGGGTCCGCAGTATTCCAGGGCACTGCTGATGACAGCACAGCCAGTCTGGCTCATCAGCAGGACCTGGAAGGGCAGACAGAGAGTTATCCCACTCAGCTCCTGTTAACCCTGCAAGCTAAAGCCCTAATGGGTAGGGTGGTCGCAGCTGGCCAAGCAGTGGGAAAGCTTGACAGACAGCAATATCAATGGCAAGCTATGCGTTTTTAGCTGATTATTGGGTTTGCACTTTAGAAAAGAACAAATACTTTGTACATCGGCAATTAATAAACTTGAACTTTACATCCTTACCTGACGTGGTGGAGAGAGAGAAAAATTTGATCAGTCTGCCTTGAAGTGATCTTATTGGGTTTGCATTTGAGGAGAAGTTAACCTTTAAATAATGAGACTTGCAAGACTTTTGAATAGTAGGAATATAATAAAAAATATAATAATGATCTTTATAGTTGACATGGAGCCTTTCACGTCGTAAGGATGTCTCAGAGGACTTTGCAGGATCTACTGTAAAGTGTAGTCACTGTATATTTTGTAGGCGAATGCCAACTAATGATGGTTATTTGAAAGACTGAAGAATGGGAGAAGCTGATTGCTATGTACGAACCAATGTAGAATCATGTAGCATTTCAATGAGATGGGCTACACTCATATCCCTTAATAACACCTTTATTTATTCCTATAGGTCGTGGAGATTATATCAAGCGCAATTGGAGATTTGGTCCAAGGCATATATTATGAAAACTCTAAAACTGGAGAGGTAAAATAATCAGTTTGTCTTTCTTTTGTAAAATGTTGAGCCGTAAGTAACGCTGCATGCACAGCATTGAGGACTGGAAGGCTGTTATTACTTTTGTCACCAAGTTTCAGCATCAAGCACTCCCAGGTCAGGCATAACACAACCAGCTGCATAGTGAAACACTATCTATTCTGCCCCAAGCTTACGAAAGCATTCACTAGAGCACTGGTTTGAATTGGATTGTTATAAATTTTTTCCACACCAGCTGCTCTTATGGTCTCACTGAATGAAATTAATTTGTGTCAAATTAGGGCCTATTTTACGCTGGCTCTAGACACACACACGCAAACGCACACACCTAAACTATGCTGCTGAAGCTACCCAATTCAGACAGAACTCTTGTGGTGGAAGAGGAGAGAGAAAGTATAAGTTGGACTCAAACCCAGATCCATTAGGTGCAAGGATAGAATATTTCCATTTCAGATCATTTTATCAATTAGACTATGAATTTATAATCCACAGTTAATTACAATAAAAAAGATGTTATCCTCAAACATGTCTTATGTAGAAGACGTGTCTGTATGTCAAATAATTATAGAGGCATAACAACAACAACAAGATTACATTTTAAAGCACCTTTCACGTCGGGAGGACATCCCAAGGCGCTGGACAGCGTATAGCATTTCAAACCCAAGCTGGGGTTGGGGGGGGGGGAGTGCGGAGGGGAAGGGGGGTGGCCGATGGCATAGTCCAAGAGGAGAGTATTGAGGCGGGACTTGAGGGAGGCTAAGGAGGGGCGAGGCGGAGTGACTGGGGGATGGAATTCGAAAGTTTGGGGGCAGAGTGGCTGAAGGCTCTCCCGCCAATAGTGGGGCGGGTGGGTCGGGGAACGTGGAGCAGGCTGGAGCCAGCTGAGCGGAGGGAACGGGTGGGTTGGTAAGGTGTTAGGAGATCGCAGAGGTAGGGTGGGGCGAGGTCATGGAGGGCTTTGTATGTGAGGACCAGGATCTTGAACTGGATCCTCTCAAGGATAGGGAGCCAATGGAGTCGGGTAAGAATGGGGGAGATGGGGTCACAGAGCTTGGTGCGGGAGAGGACACGGGCTGCAGAGTTCTGGATTATCTGCAGCCTGTGGAGGGAGGAGTTGGGAAGGCCGACAAGCAGGGCATTTGCATAGTTGAGCCTGGAGGTGATGAAGGCATGAACAAGAGTTTCAGAGGCCTGAGGGGTGAGATAGTGACGGAGTCGGGCAATGTTACGGAGGTGAGGGAAGGCAGAGCGGGTCATGGATTGGATGTGGGGGAGAAAAGACAGTTGAGGGTCGAACAAGACACCTAGGTTCCTGACTGGCTGGTGAGTTGTAGTGTGCAACCATGGAGGTTGATGCTGCCAGAGCCTGAGGTGCTGAGGCGCTGGCGCGAGCCAATCAGGAAGGCCTCAGTCTTTCACATTCAACTGTAGGAAATTTACCCTCATCCAGGACTTCATGTCCGACAGGCAGTCTGTCAGGACAGCAGTGGTCCTGGAGTTGAGGGTGGAGGCAGAAAGATAGAGTTGGGTGTCATCTGCATACATGTGAAAGTTGACCCCATGTCTGCGATGATGTCACCAAGGGGGAGCATGTAGATATTAAAGAGGAGAGGGCCAAGGACAGAGCCTTGAGGGATGCCAGACATGACAGTGCGGGGGCTGGAGGAGAAACCGTTAGAGGCACCAAAGTGGAGACGGTGAGAGAGATAGGAATCGAACCAGGCAAGGGCAGGTCCGCAAAGATTAAATAAAATAACAACAACAAAGTACAGGTTTACATGATGGGGTCAAAAATGCCACATGGTCGCATCACCATAATCAACACCAACGACATCAGGCCATTGAAAATTTCAACCTCATCAGCGTCAAGTGTGGGTAATTCCCCCCGCGCCCCACCCATTCACAACTTGTTACAATAATTGGGCCACAGCCAATACTGAACTTGTCGCTTTACAAGTTGAGTTAAGATGGGGATCAGCAAACTCATTGGCAGCTGTGTAAGAAGTGACTCGAGTGTCATTTAAATATGGGGTCCAACTCATGCTTTTGCTGTTTAATTTTTTTTAATCTTTCGTGAGTTCAACTGTATTTGGCCATTCTTTACTAGGCTCATTTTCTTCAATGAATTCACTTTGGGGAAGAAATGAAAACAAAGGCACAGTTTGCTTACAGCAAAACATCAGGGGAAATTGAGTAGCAATTACAAATCTCTGCTTGCCATGACTAATCAATCTCGTTTGGCTGCCTCTGACTTGTTCCTTCCCTCGCCTCTTTCAAGGTCCATCTCAAGATCTTTCCACTATGAATGCACTTTTGGTCATTTTTCCCCTCTCCCTCACCTTACCTCCCACCCCCAGCTCAGGTGCCAAGCCTGGACGGTCAAACACCTTGGGACGTCTTCCCGATGTATATATCAAGGTGCATTTGTATTATATTGTCTAAATACATTTCTTTATGAATTAGAAGAGATTATGATGAAATAGAAAGCCTTTTTTTTTAAGAATAATTTTTTATCAAGCTCGTATAGAGGCCTAAATTTACATCATTTCCCCTATTGGACTGAAAATAGAATGTATTGCAAAACAATATTGCCAATATTGGAATCCATCATCGAGGTTTGAATTTCTAGTGAATGGTAATTTTGTAGACCAGCCCCAGGTATACTTTCTTTGATCCTCCACACATATCCACTTTCCACTGTCACATAATGTCAGCATTTCTTGTTTTGAAGTAGGCCTCTCTACACGCTGCAGCCTTGTGGTGTTCCCACAAGTGCATTCTACTCCTATAATGACACATCCATAAACTTTCCATTTTCTTTTTGTGCAGAACAACAATTTACATTTTTATGCAGCAATTTTCACATCAGGAGGGCATCTCCATCACTCTGCACAACTGTCTAGGAGTCCATGCTTTGGGGAGGGGTGGAGGGAGCTGAGGAGAGTGGCGAGGAAAGGTGACTGAAGGTGCGGTCAAAGAGAAAGTTGTTAAGGAGGACTTTAAACATAGTGAGGGAGTGGTTGAAGTGGAGGGAGTTCCATGGGATAGGGAGGGAATATGAAGCAGACCAGTGTTAGCTGAGTGGAGGGATTGGTTTGAGGGGTAAGCTTGCAGGAGCTGGCAGAGGTTACAATTACAACTGTCTACAATAATCGTTTTTGGCGGGGAGAGAGAATATGAAATGACATTGTTTATTGGACACATCTCCAATTCTTTGGATCTTAAGAGCACCATTCTAGTGGAGATAGGAATATAAATGTAATTCCAGATCTTGAGGTACTAGTATCTCTTTTAGTGGTTCTCTTAAGTACATCCCTACGTTTATTCTACCAGTGGATAATGTAATGTGAGGACAAACTAAGGAACCATGACAGGGATAAGGGAGGGAAAATCCGCTTACCTCTCTGACTCTTCAGACAAACTAGAATTCTTACTTAACTTGAGAACCACTGAAACAAGTGGTCAGTGATCTTAAAATGATTTGTTGGATTATCAGTATTAAAAGAAACAAGATACTTTAGGTAATCACACCGAGGTACTGGTTTCTATCATTTTCAATTAATTTTATAGGAGTAAATTATTAATTCTCCAATTTTTAAGGTTTATAAATGTTCAATTTCATGAAGTTACTGTTGGGGAATTTAGATGTTTGAGCTGTGAAATTTGACTCGTATTTTGAGACCTGAATTTCAGGAACTCTGGTAGCAATTATTTCTATTATAAAATGTATCCTGGCCATAATAACTAATGATTCCAGTGCATGAAAATGAATTGCAAGAGTGCTGCTGGATTTCCTTTGGTTTTTTTGTATAATTTAAAGCATGGTGAGTTTTGTTTTCAGAACATTATCAAATGTTGTTCCTCTCTTCAGGTGATGTATGTTAAGCACAACTGTCATTCGTAAGGTTTACAGGTAATTACAATGTAGACATCCGCAGAATGTATTTAGCGTTGAGTGTATAGAATATCCGGTTTAATATTAATCATAATCTATTTATATAAATGCTAATGTGTTCTAAAATGATTACTCCTAGGACAATATGACGGATGATGTGATGATAGCTGACTGGGAAGAGCAAACCTTTCTATCTCATGGTGCCTTGCTGGCAAAGAGTTGTGAAAGTGCCATGGAACTGGCAAAGCACGATGCTGAAGTCCAAGAGATGGCATTTCAGTATGGCAAACATATGTCTCTTGCCCACAAGGTAAACTAATTTTAATTATTTTATGATATTAACCCTATACATGCATGCTCCGCTCTCCCCTCAGGGCAAGAAACCAGGATGTAGTTTTTTGTCTGTCCACTGCCATCTGTGAGACATTATTACTTCATTGAACTTGAATCCTTTTGTGGACTTCTTTCAGATCTGATATTAATGTTTCCCTCAAAGCTGGCCAAGTTGCTTTTTATAAAAAAATTTGGTCAGCTGGGTGTCCCACACATGCGAAAACTCATCAGCATGCTTAAGAATATCCCAAATAAACTGAGAATTCCATATGTCCCACCTAATTGCACTCTGGAGCACTGACAGAGAGAGAAAGAGAGTCCTGTTGACCAGCGCTTAGACGAACGAGTGCAGCTCCAAGATGAGTTGTAGGTTCCTGATTTGGATCTGTAAGTTCCCCAACTTTCTTCATCTGACCCCATCCCCCACCCTTCGCAGCTTTTAGGAGCTCATTTGCGATTGGCAAGATGCCGCAGTGCAGAGTCCACCTCCTCCCAACGGATTGGGTTGTTAAGGTCTTCAATCTGATTGGGATTTCTATCCACAAGAAGGGTAACCCTAGTGAGTCCGAGAACTACTGTGTCTTTGTATGAGATTTCAGAACATCGCAAGGCTTAGGAGAGACCCACCTATATTGTGATCATCAACCTTCGACCAAATACCTCATGAAGTCCTCATGGTGAAACTGAAAGCTATAGGAATACATGGAAAAATCTTGGATTTTATTTGGATTGTGTATTCCAACTCCAAGATCTGTAATGGTCAGCAATGGACTCATTGAGCCCATCCCTCTGGAAAGGGGAGTAAGATGAGGCTGCCCATTCTTATCCACCCTCTTGATACTGTATATTCATCAATGACATGTCAGATGGCATCAAGGTGGACGGAACTGGATGTATCTGCTTCAAGCCTTTCTGACAGGAATGGGGAACTTCTGTGCTTGCTTGGGGACCTTGTGCACTGAACCTGCCATCTTGAACACTGGGCCATCCGGTGGGGCATGTGTTTGGTCCCCAAGTGCAGAATCATGGTTTTGCACATCTCAAGAGAAGACGTTGAGGATATTCATTGGAACATGCAAGGGACGTCAGTCCCAATTGCTGATTCTTATCTATGCCTGGGAGTTGCGGCGGGCACCAACTTTTGTTTGAACACTGTCCTGAAGACCTACAAAGAAGAGGCGAAGGGCACTCTGGTTGTGCTTGTCTTTCTTCAAGGACAGAAAGAACACCATTGCAGGTCAAGTTTGTGTGCAAACAATCCTCCTTTATGGAGCTGAGCTCCTGGGGTTGCAGCAGGGAGGCTTCCTCTAGCCAATTTGCAAAGTCCAGGAAATAGCAAGTGAGGTGGATTTGTGGCCAACAAGCTAAGCGGCTACAGAGAGAGAGGCTCTGGCCTACACTGACCTGTGACGAAGAACCCGGAGATGGAGGCAGCTTCACAGTCTGTTTGCAGAAGCGTCTCACGTGAGGACCTGGATTAAGCAGCTGATGCTGAGTAGGCTGGTACGCGACATTGGACTTGGACCTTGAGAACATCAAGGTTGTTAGCATTTTACAAGGGAGAGTGCACTTTCTAATCCAACAAATATCTCTGTAACGTCTGTGTTGATGTAGGATGCATGGAATTCTGTTTGGTTTGGATACTCTTGAACATGGTGATGGGTTTCCGAATATGTCGGACACTAGGCTGACCTAAGAAAATGTATCCCACCTATACTGGGTTAATGGGAACTGAGGGGGAAGAGTCCCTGCTCCCATTGACTGGTCTACCTTTCCAAGTCCTGTAGATGAGACATCCTGGCTGGGCTGTCATCATCAGTAGTGCCCTGGAATACTGCGGATGGCTCAGGAACTGAACTACTGAGATCATCACAGAGAGTTGGCTCGATTATGACATTCCATTGCCAAATGTGTCACCTTGGAGATGGTTTAGCTCCTATTCTGTTGTACATTTCAATGATTAATGTTGTTCCTTGAATGACCTTTGAAGAGCTGTATATGAGCGTTTAGAAAGGACTGCTGCAGTCCCTAATTGAGAATCAAGAGCTTTAACATTGTAGATACCTTAGCTAAAATACAACTTTATCTAAAGGTTGATTGTGGTTAGAGCACTCGTCTCGCAAGCGAGAGGACCAGGGTTCGATTCCCAGGCCGGGTGAAACCTTAGGCAAGTTTCCTTACTTGACACGCCTCTGTTACCTAGCAGTAAGTAAGAACCCGGTTGTTAGTTGATTGGTGGATCGCTTTTCCGGGGATGATAATAATCCCTGNAAAAAAAATTTGGTCACTTCAATCCAAAACTATTGGTGGGACACTGCTGTGTGCAATTGGCTGCCGCGTTTCGCCCACAAATATACAGTCAATTCACTTTACAATATATTCTGTGAAGCGCTTTGAAACGTCTAGAAGATGTGAAAAGCACTATATTAAATGCAATGATTATTTTTGTTATTATCATGTATATGTGCACTTTCCCTTAAAAAAAATTGGTCACTCAATGCACGACTGTTTGTGGGAACACTGCTGTGCGCATTTGGCTGCCGCGTTTTGTTCATAAAATATAGTCGATTCACTTTCCAGTATATTCAGTATATGAAGCGCTTTGAGACGTCTAGAAGACGTGATAAAGCGTTGTATCAAATGCAAGAATTATTATTATTAGAACCCTCTAAAAAAGTGATGCTTGCTTGAAATTTGAGAGCAATTTCTGCCATGTCGGTTTTACATATTGCTTCAATCCCCTGAAAGCTCCTCAAAAACTTTATACTTATTTCAATAGGATTATTTTTTATTACGTTGATTCCTCTTAAATGCAGAATAATTCAGCTGGAATTTAAGATGGATGATTCCATCCAGTTTTTAATGTCAGTCCAACACCTCAAGCAATCTCTTGAGGGAATTAAGACAGATTTAATAAGGAGGCAAATACTCTTTCAGTTATTTTCCATAGAGTTTATTGCAAAAAACTATTAGCACAATGATCACCACTATTTTAAATTCATGGGTAAAACAAAAAAGATGTAAAGAAGATAGCAGATAAGTCATTTCTAAAGTAATAACTTCCTCACAGTCCTACCTTACTGAAGATGTAAAGATGGAGGATGAGAAGCAGGAAGTTACAAAAGCACTTGTCTCAAATCATGGCCAAATTGGCACATAAATAGAACAAAGATGCTTGATTAGCTTTTCAACACTTTATGGAAGGGGTTTGATCAACAACGCATCACTTTTAATGTGGATCTACAATAAAGAGGATCGATCATTTCCAGTAATGAGCACTTAGCAATCGTGCCATTAAAGATACACAGAGTTACTCAAAATATTGGCAGAAAGTAAAATAGACTTTGAAGGTGCCCAAAGCTTCATTCCTGGAAGGCATCCAAAGGTTAGTTTGAAACCAATTCATGCCTCAAATATATACTCCAGGTTCCAGAGCTAAAAATGCTCTCTAACCAAGGAAGGGTTGGCAAGGGGCTGCATGTGTTTCCTCCATTCCCTATAATTCTACAAGTGCTTTGGTCAGTTGAGCAAATCATTAGAATTTCTTACTGCCTTGTCGGTTGTAGTTATAAAACTATTCTACTTTCCCAAGATGCAAAAATTATTTATTGTCATTGACAAGACTTATGAGAATAGGTTGAGATTATCATGAAATAGACTGAGTGAATACCTTTGACAATCTGTTCATATCTGTAAATTAAATGTTTAATCTTTTAAGACAGAATTGTGGAGGGAATCCTGATTCCTAAGATATTTTTCGTAGATAGTGGACTGAAGTTCCATTTAGATGAAGAACCTGCAGCTCTCAATTCAGCTGTCAGGATTTGATACAAGGTTCATCTTATGTCAATTTATAAAAGAATGGCACATTAAACCTTTTTCCAATGGAAACTACAAGCGCGTGAGTTCCACTTTTGAAGTCATGGACAAATTTGGTATCTACATGTAGATAGAAATGAAACAGATTGTCATTAATGACTAGTTCTTTTGAATGCTTGTTTTTCAATTTAGGCTATTATGCTGAATTTAAATGTATATCTAAAGTGGTCTCTAACTTAATCGATCACTATTCTTTTTCATTCCTGCATCTCGCATCTATGTGTCAAATGTAGGTTTCCCTGCACCTGTGTGTCAAAGCATTTTTTTGTATACTGAATCTCGCAGACACTCTACTATCTTATATATATCCTGTGAAAGGGTTTGGGACATCCTCCTGACATGAAAGGCATCATCAAACAATTATTATTATCATTAATATGAATCTATCAAAGTTCAAACAGGTGCTCATTCTATATGAAAGTAAGTCTTTGTATGGCCTATATGCTACCTGAGACAAGCTAGGACCTAAAAACAATAAAAACACGTACAGCACTAATGCTGGCTAGATGCATAAATCATGATCTGATGAATTAATGGTGAGTTAGTGAATAATGAGGTGTCAAACTGAACCAGTTAGCAACTGCGAATGTGATAATTGGGTCTCTAATCTGAAAAATCATATATTTAAATACCCATAGAGATGAATGATGAGAACTGTTGACTTTCTAAAGAGATATGTTTAAGTGGTGGAAACAGAAAATCAACTAGAATGTGCTGTCATATGCTAAATTTATCAGAACACATTGCTAAATAAGGAGACATCTAGTACACAGGTTAACCATCCTACTCTTCTAATATCAATTTAGGACTAGAACATAAGAGCAGTGAAATGCTGGCTAGTAAATGCATTGTCAGAGATTATGAATGTAATTCTATATTAAACTTTACATTACAAATTCATTTGTGGGGAAGAATAAGAAATAATGGGAGAAGGAATAGAAGTTAACACAAACTAAAAACACAAGTGATATGAATAAAACGGAAAATGTAAATTCTAAATTGGCAATGTATTGTTGGGGGGAATGCTGCACTGTTGTGAGGAGTGCTGCACACAAAGTATATATGGAACTGTACTAGCAAGTCACTCTCTCCTATGTCAGACCAAATATTAACTGATGGCGTGTCAATGTCAGCTAACGTTTTCTTTTCTGTGTTTTCTAGGAAAAGTATCCCAAATAAATGTTTTTTAATCCATATTAATGCAGTTGCAAAGCTGACTCCACAATTTGAATTATGACCCAAATTAGGAAGTTTCAACTAGTTTAATCTCTATGTTTTCAAAACCCCACTTAAAACCTACTTCATTGACAGCAGCTTTGGTCACATTCGCTCCGCTCTTCCCCCCTTCCCTTGCTCAGGCCCCAACTCTGCCTCTTTGAAACACTTTGAGATAATTTCCTCCATAAAAGGCCCTATAATAGGTGCAAGTTGTTGTGGTGTATTCCATTGATTACATGTTTGATTTATAAAAAAGGAAAGTAATCATAGTCGTTTGACTTAGCTTTGAATTGCTCATTATTAGAATTTATTGTTATGATTTTGCAGCTAAATTCCGACCTTCAGCCATTTGTTGAAGAAGCTTTCAATGACTCCGTGCCTTTCAGTCTGAACTCTGCACCAGTCGTTTTACATCGGGAGCTTTTGGGTCGAGACACTTGGATTAATCAATTTAAAGAGGTATGAATTCAGCATACACGTACGTACATGTTATGGAATAATAATTATCTTCACTGATTTCTTTTTTTTAGAAAAAAACAGCACTTTACACTGTTATAATTGTGGTGCATGATTCTTATGTCCCTGTAAATTGAAGTGTCAAACAAAGAAAGGAAAAACTTTTGCCCTAGCACCTTATCATGTCAATATGTCTCAAGAAGCCACACAGTTAAATATCAAGCATAATGATTATTTTTTGGGATGTCCTCCGAACGTGAAAAATGCTATACAAATGTAATTTGTTGTTGTTTTATCGGCAAATGTGGCAGCCAGTTTGTGCCAGCAATGTCCCACAAGCAGCCATGAGGCTTTAACCAGGAGAACTGTCAGCAGTACATCAGTAGAAATCATTATCCTGATTTTCTCCGTACTCATCAATGTTGTTTTTCCTCAAGTATCTATCCAGTTCTAATTGTTAATGGACTGGGCCTCATCAGTGATGAGGTATTCCCCATTCTAATGCCCCCTGTGCAAATATTCTAAACCAATCCTGTTTTTTAAGTCAAGTATGTCATACAGTAGTCAACAAATACCAATTGATATGTACTGTAACTTTCACAGGAAATTAGAAGTGCTTATTGTGAAAAGGTTGATTCTGATTTTATTCTATTTCCACTGTTCACCTTGAACAGAATCTGAATCTTTTTAGAATGTATGTAAACCAAGCCAATACAACCATCTGCTTCTAGATATTTCAATGTAGCTTTTTCACTGCTGTGCCACTGTTTGGGCCCATCTCCCCTTCGTAAGTTCTTATTTATAAATTAGACTTTTTCAGTTTTAATTTTTAATTTCAGACGTGCACCCTCATTGAAGCCACATCCAGTTAAAATGAGTTTACCTGAGATTTGACCTAGTATACTTATGGGATCCACTGTTTGTGTGTGTATCTGTGTGCAGTGAAACCTCAAACAAGTATGTAAAGTAGTATCTAAGAATTATTTTATTTTAAAGAGGAAACATTGGCATAAAGCTGGGCAAACATTTAGCGTTGCTTACAATCGCAAATCAAAGCAATGTAAGTTCAGCCAAAATGAATCTGCAACACTTGAAAATGATTCATAGCTCTGCTGTCACCTTTTCTTGTTAAAAAAAACTCCAACAGTAGTTGTGAAGGCAAGTACAGTATCTGTTTAATCTACATTTACTTTCAGGGAACCATGGCTACCCTTTTCTGTTCAATGGAGGTGAAGACTATAATTTGTTTGTTAAATGGTTCTTTCTTTAAATAACTTATTCAGCTTCCAGAACTGGGACTAGTGTCCTAGTGGCTTCATTCCTTGTAATATCATCAGCAATGTATTGAAGTATTGGATGGTGTTTGCTCTTAGGCACCTGAAGTTCCATCTGGACCATTTTAAGCAAAGTCGTTCTTTTTAGGCCTAGCAGAAAACCGGCTCCCTTGCCTCCTTCAAGACCCATCTCAAGACCCTCCTCTTCGACTGTGCTTTTGATCACCTTCCTTTCCCCACTGCCCTCCACCCTCCCCAATCCCGACCCCAGCTCGGGTCTGAAACACTGATTGTCCAGCGCCTTGGGACGTCCTGCCGACTGTAAGGCGCTATACAAATGTAATTTTGTTGTATCTCTGGGTTAAATTTTTATCCTGGTCCAAAAAATAACCAGACAGGAATCTAACCCACTGTACCATCCACTTCCTTTAATAATGCATTGTTACTACTTCAGTTTCTTATGGCGCCACTGCAGCAGAGTGCAGTCTTTCTGGTTGGTAGCGCTCTCCCCTCTGAGTCAGTGGGCTGCAGGTTCAAGTCTTGTGTTATTACTTTGTACTCAGTAATCTTGGCTAACATTCCAGTGCAGTGCTGCATTTTGGAAATGCTGTTCTTCGGATGACACATTAAACCGAGGTCCTGACAGCTCGTTCAAGAAGACGTTAATGCTCATTGACACCGTATGAAAGGAGAAGGGAGTTTCTTCTGGTTTGTTTGTTGTAGCTAACAATTCCCCAAATAAAATTGGTCATTCACTTCCTAGCTATTTGTGGGACATTGCTGTGCACAAATTGGCTGCACAGAAATACAAAATACATGGTCCCTTTAAGATAAATCCTGTGAATCGCTTTGAAATATGTGAAAGGGGTTATATCAAATGCAAGGATTATTATTCATACTATTAGTATTAAGAGAGCACCTGAATATGTCTTTTTAAAAAAAAGACATCATTCCAGTTATTTCATCTTGAGATTAGTCCTATAACGTGGACAAGGTAACTAGAGTATATCACAAGGAGAAAATCCAGATATATTATATGAATACATTTTTTATAGAACTGAAAGATAACAGTGTTTTCAAATTATAGTGTCCTACAATTGGTTAAGGAATATATACCCAGAATATCAAAATATCAGGATAATTGTAAATTAAGTTAATTCTGAATTCTATGAATACTTATTAAGTCAAAATGTTTGGCAGTTTCTCCAGTGGATATTTTCACTGCATGTCAATAATAATAATAATAATCCTTGCATTTGATATAGCGCCTTATTACATCTCGAAACGTCTCAAAGCGCTTCACAGAATATACTGTAAAGGGAATTGACTATATATTTTGTGGGCGAAATGTAATTTCTGAACTCCAAGTTTAGATGCAGGTTACCTATTTCCACCAATGTAATTTCCTGAATACTCATGCTTTTAACAAAGTTGTGCTGAATCTTGGCATGCTTTCACTATGGATTGTATCCACTAATAGCTAGGAGGCAAATTCCCACCAGAAAGCCTAACTTCAAATTGCATTTTCAACTGAGCCGAAGAACAGCACTTCTACTGGGCATATTTCATTATTTTCATCATACAGGGGTCCTGTAGCTCAGTGGTTGGAGCACTCGCCTCGCAAGCGAGATCTGTGTTTGATTCCCGGCAGGGCAAAACCTTGGCGAAGTTTCCTTACTCCATGTGCCTGATAATAATCCCTCAAAACAAATCCCCCCCAAAACTTGGTCACTTCAATCCACGATTGCTTGTGGGACACTGCTGTGCGCAATTGGCTGCCTTGTTTTGCCCACAAATATACGTCAATATACTTTACAGTATATTCTGTAAAGCACTTTGAGACATCTAGAAGACATGAAAAGCGCTCTATCAATGCAAGAATTATTATTACTATTATTTTCAGTCAGGCTTTAGTGACCAACCATCTGTTTGAGGGGGGAAGTAGCAGAATCAGTTCCACCTTACAGATGCACACCACCTGTCCTATCATAGAGCAGCAATGATGCCAACTGCAGAGACGACTATAGCAGGCCAGATTGTCCTGACCTGTTATAGGTGAAGGAGGGATTGTGGTGACTCGCAGCAGTGGAGATTCAAGGGGAGCTAAAAATAAACATTCCTTTAAACCTTTTTTATGGCAGCAGGAATGTTGCATATGGTTCAGCTTGTGTGTTGCAGCCTGTGCGACCACACAAAGAGTTCATGTATTAATAGTTCCAAGCATTACAAGTTGGTTTCAGAATATCTTACCTGCCCTATTTAATCCAAGTTGCAAGCACAGCTCCAGATGAGGCAACATGTAATGAAGTTGGTAACTGGATGCATTCTGGAGTAGAAGCAATTAAATTAATCAGACTTTTAAGTGGCTTTGGTTTCTGCAAACAGGAACTTGATGGCTACGCCTCGATGTTCGGTGTCTGTGTCGCTACCATTTTGTTGGTTGAACCTACTCAGGTTCAACCAAAGTTGCAGAGCAATTTTGTTCAAACCAAATTATAGAACATTAATCATTTGAAAAGATCATTTGTAAGTGTAGCATTGAGAAAGGCAGAATTTCTTTTGATGTTATACAAGGTGAAAAGAATGTTAGTAAGTGGATGGATCATATTCATCTTATTAAGTAATTTGCAGAGGAAGAAGTATCCAGTTGAGTTATTTAATGTAAATACTTATTAAGTTCTTACCACCTTACGCTCTGTGACATTATCCTGCATGCCAGGGTGCTGTTTAAATCTAAGTTATCATTATTCACACTTCTGTTTGTTTTTAGGCTAAAATCAATGGAGAACAAATTGACTATGTCAAGGTATGTTTCTATATTTTTAAATAGATGCTTAATAAAAGTATATTGGAACAATATTACAGAAAGAATAACGATTGTGCTGACTGAAATAATTATTCTGGTTGTAGCTTTGTGACCAGCTGTGAACTCAAGGTACGTATGTAATTGTTTAAAAGTAAGAATTATTGTCCAGAAATGTTGCATTTACTTCACTTATTCCTCGGTGTCTGAAGAGTAATGATTTTGGATGTGATTAGATGTTTATACAAGTGTAGAAAGTTTATTTCTGCTGCCTTCCTTTCTGCCCTCCACACTCTCTCCCATCATCCACCTGAAGGTTGTTGCTTTACAGTGCGCTCATCTAGCAACCAGCCTGAGACATGGTGAAATGCACAAGAGACTTACAGTATTGAGTTATATGCTGGAAGTTTGAACATTCTCCAAAATGAATAGGTCATCGGGGAATAATCTGAAGTCCTGAGTAATTTTCTTCAAGCGTTTTTTTGTCAGTAAGACCTAAATGAACAAAATTCAGAATTGCTTATTCTGTGATAAAATAACACTTTAACATGAAAAATCACACGTGAATGTGCTGACATTACACTGGAACCACCTCCCCGAAAGATTATATAGACATAAGTTTCAGACTGCCACCTCAAAACGTCCTTTATAACAGGCATGAGGAATAGAACAGCAAAGCCCTACACCCCAAATTGTAATGTTACAGCAGAGAGCCAAGTAAATGAGGCTTTAATTCTGAATGAATTAGAGAAATTAAAACAGTGCACTTCTCTCCCTCCTTCCTTCCATAACGATAACTGGTTAATTTAATTCAATACAGCCATGAAACTCAAATTGACACAAAACATGGAGACTGGATCTTTTCAGTTGGAAAGTGAACAGTCTTGTGCCTGGACAGTTGTTCTTCTAATGTCCATCAAGCATTTACTTTCATAGATAATGATGATCTGAAGTTGTGTTTAGTTGTTTTGTATTTCAGTACTAATCATTACTAAATTATCAAACGTGGGAGTTTCACAGTTTCAAAACATTGGAGTAACGGATCCTAATCCTTCACCAGAACTCATAATCTCCCTGTTGTATATGTCACATCATAGAGAGATATTTACTTATTTAAAAGTGTAACAAGAGAGAGCATGAGAAATTAGCTCTCATTTTCTGTTGTGCAGCTTGCACTGTAATATTTTTGATCAAATTTAATAAGGCACTTAGCAGGCCAGGATTCAAATGAAATTCTTTTTTCTCCGTAATTTACAAACACATACATCAATAAACACTTAACAGAAGAGCCTTCAGTGATATAAACTGAAGATGTACTTTTAAAATTTGTATTTCACATTATATAGCAGAAATGTTCTCAGTATTAACTTGAGAAATGTGTAAATACTTTTTATTATTAATAATCTTTAAACAAACTAAAGTTGTTTTTATATAAAGAAAGTGTTATCAAAGGATTGATACTGAATAGATTATCCTGACTCAGACACAGGGAAATTTCAATGTGTAGGTGGCATACATATGTGCAAATCTGTTTGGTTTGGTGGTTTGGATACTCTGAAGCATGGTAATGGTTTCCATATAGAACCGTAGACATTTATAACACAGAAGTAGGCCATTCAGCCTATCTTGTCTGTGCTGTTCTTTTAAGAGCAATCCTTTCAGTCTCATTTACCTGCCCTTCCCCCATACTCTGTAGTTTACTCCTTTTTTGGTATTTTTATCTGACGTGTCAGACACACGGCTGACCAAAATATAAATCATCTTGACTGGGCCTCAATTTAAATAAATAATAAAAAGGTCACTTGTCCCATGTTTAAACTGCTTGAAAATATAAAAACAATATTTCCCTCTGTTTAATTTCTAAATCATTTTTAGTAGCAAACGTTCAGATGATTAATCAATGCTTCCGTCTAGATTAATAAGGTGAGTCTATTTTCTCTGATGAATGTAGTTACTTGTAAGAAAATCAGATAAGGTGGGATAGAAGAGGAACTTTACAGTACTAAACCTAGTTTCCAAAGCAAATCATGACACTGTTAAGATGTGTATTCCTTAATCTAATGTTTAATGCCGCAGTCCTGTAGCTCAGTGGTTAGAGCACTCGCTTTGCAAGCGAGAGACCTGAGTTCAATTCCAGGCAGGGCAAAACCTTGGGCAAGTTTCCTTACTCCACACGCCTAATAATAATCCCTCCAAAACCAAAAACAATAATAAATTGGTCATTTTCAATCTATGACTGTTTGTGGGACATTGCTGTGCGCAATTGGCTGCCGCGTTCGCCCACAAATATACAGTCAACTCACTTTACAGCATATTCTGTGAAGCGCTTTGGGACGTCCTCCCGACGTGAAAAGCGCTATATCAAATGCAAGGATTATTATTATTATTATTTTGTACATTAAGTAGATGGCAATTGGTGGACAGCTTTTCCGGGGGTAACAATCCCTTCCAAAAAATGATAATAAAATAAATAATGATTTATTATCCACGACTATTTGTGGGATACTGCTGTGCGCAATTGGCTGCCACGTTTTGCCAACAGTCAATTCATTTTACATTATATTCTGTGAAGCGTTTTTAGACATCTTGAAGACGTGATAAGGCATTATATTATATGCAAGGATTATTATTCCTTTTTTGGTAATAAAGTGATTTATTTTAATCAACCCTTTTCTATTAGAAGTGCTGTAAACACTTACCACAATTAAAGTTTAGAGAATTGTAACTTCACAAAGGATTATCAGATACCAAACAAGGGGAGCCTTAAAATTAGAGCTAAACCGGTTAGAATTCAGATTAGAAAACATTCCACAGAGAGTTGTGAGACTGGAATGCACTGCCCAGAAAATGCTGAAATATTTGGATGTTTAAAAGGTACATAGTCGATACTTAGGAAGTAAGAGCCTTAAGGGATTTGAATAACAACCGGAGAAATAGAATTAATAGATCTTCCACGATGCAATAAAATAACAGAATTGAGGGCAGCCCCAATAATTTAATGGATAGTGTATGCAACAGGAGTTCACTGGTTTGAATCATGGTCTGTTCTCAGCCAGGGCTTCATGAGAGAGTAAATTGGTCCCAGCTTCCCAGGGTTAGGGAGGGAACAAACAGCCAGGATTCCTGCTCCTCACCTCAGTAATAGAAAATTAATTGGACATGCCATTTTTTAAAAAATGGCAATAAAGGCTCACTTGCGAATAGGGTCAGTTTACTGTGAAGGAAAAGTACAATGGTATCCAAGTCAACATAGGTTGTTACATATTGAATAAGGCTGCCAAGTTAAGATACAGTTCAAAAGTAGATATAAAAGGCTAGTTAATGTTTTCTTATTATCAATTTGTTGAATTTTGTCAACCATGAAATAGCCTGTCCAATAACATGGCCATTACTTCAATGTGCCTTGCTCTGGCCAGAAATTACGCCAATTAAAATTGTTGCCTATTTATGAGTTTGTGTTTAGTGTCTTCTGACACATGTGCAACTGGTAACTTTAGTCAGTAAAACATGCACAGCTAGTAACATTAATCAGTAATGCTTCCATTCCCCTTCTCAATAATATATCCAGTTTTATGCTTATAAATAATACAGGTTCATAGTTTGTTTAGAAGTTTCTGTAGGAGTAACTGGATTTTTTTCTGTTTACATTTTCCGTATCTACAATCCTACAGCAATCTGATTAACATTTACACTTCCTTTTATTCGTGCATCCCCCCAACTCATCCAAAATTATAAATATTGTTGAATAAGAAAAGTGAAGAGATTATGCATTGACTTTCGATCTGTTTTCTTGAGGAGGCTTGAGAAGGCAGTCATTGACACCAGAATGGTGGAATGCCATGCATGGCTGGCACTGATGATGCTTCAGTCTGGTCAGAATAGGATCTGTTGCCTTTTAGGTTACTGTGTTAAGGAGACACAGTCCCGTATGAAGGGCGCTATATGAATGCAAGTTGTTGTTATTGTTGTGTGATATGTCTTCACATTGCAAGTGTTTTCTCCACTTCATTCTCCTATAACATTAATTGTAATGTTGTTTGGCCTTTGGACTTTTGCTGTCTGCTTTATTTCTGTTTCTGTATATACGTATAATGTTGCAGTGACAGTTGAGCAGTGTTGAATGAAAGAAGGGAATGAAATAGTTGGCGCAGACGTCAGGGAAATGGAACGGGTATATATACACACTGGGATAGCACTCATCAAGGCACTGGGGAAAGATGGAGTAAAGAACTAGAGAACTCGAGGAATGGCATAAAATAGTGGAGCAGCAACAGATTTATTAGAAGATGATAGAAAAATAGGACAGCTGGCAAATAGTAATAGAACACAGAAAAACAACAGTGACATTTAGAGAGCGAGAGAGATAGACCGAGAAAAGCAGTAAAGATATCAGTTATGGAAGAAAGACTAAGTGAAAGACAGCAGGGAAGTCAGAAAGAGGGATCTGGCGCCCCCTTATGTGTGCATTTACATGCCCAGAGGCAAGGCATCAAACTATATTTTCTGCCAAATGAAAACATTTTATAATTATGTGCTCTCCTCCTGTCATGTGTTAAAGTTGCATTTGATTTGATTTCTTTTTTCCATTGTTAGAGCTTGGATTCATTACGATAGAACAATTGCCAAGCATGTAACCCTAGTATTAGAACCAGACACTGTTTGCTTGTTCTTTGCAAAAGATTGATGCTTTACCAGGGCTGCAGATGCGAAAGCTAAATACTTCAATAAAAATAGGTCTCTTATACAATATTTAGGACTGAGGATCCTGATCTTGTTGAACTTGGTACTTAATTTAAAAAATATGTATGCTAGGATATTGTTGCCTGAAAATCACTTTCCCTAAAAGTGGAGGCTAAGGTTGTTTAAGAGCATTGTTGACTTCCAGATAAGTAAACAGATAAGAAGCAGCCTATATTTATTTATGCCCGGCATTTTTATAAAAAAAGTGTGAGCAATCTGATACCAAATGCACACTGTTGCATTTGATTTGGCCATTCCTGTTT